AAAAAAAAAAAAAAAACAATAAATCGAGAATCAAGAGAAAATTTGCGATACGTGCGTTTACCTAAGTATTGCCGAAGCATGCCTAACTTCACGAACGACTATATACAAATCGTGTCTGCGCTACGTACTGATTGTCAGCCATAGCTAATAACACCTGCCGTCTATAGTGATTAACGACTGATCGAACCCTATTTACGGCCGAAGATAACTCAATCCGGGATTTCGAAAGTTTCGTAGCTGTTGTTGAACAATGTTTTAACGGCATTTTAAACAGCCATTGAATACCTGACAGTGCAAACGTGAACTGCTGAAACAGAAGTGTTCATGTAGAATACTCGTAGTCCCTCAATAATGGCAACATTTATTGACCAGAATGTACAAATATCTGTACGTTTTATCTTTCTTTATTAAAGTAACAGCAATACACGTAAACATAATGGATATTAACTTTATCTTAGAGAATCCACGAAAAAAATATTCATTATTAGATCTCCATGTACAAGCTAAAAAGATGCTTTAATTGATGAACGATTTAAAATGATAGTGTGTTAAAAATATGTTTAGACGTAGCGACAATGACACTCATCCCTGGATTTACACTGTACTTCTTAGATTTATGTACATAAATTTTTTTGTGCGTGGTATCAATTCACGCAATCAGGAAATATATTTTTCTATAATCTTTGAATTTACTGTATGCACATCAATCAGACGCAGATTCTTATTTTTTTTAATTAATCTAAATTCTTATTTAACATCATTCCGACTTATAATATCGACACGGATGATTTTTAGTTATAACTTATTATTTCGTAGTAGTAAGAAATAAATGTAACTCTATTTCAATATATGTCATTGTATGTAATTAAATTTGACTATTTACATGTTTTTATATGATATACATTTTATTATACACTGTCCAAATCTGTGTACACTACTTGGAGATGTACATACTTTGAACATTGCATGTTGTGATATATTCTTGTATCTTTCAATTATGCGTAATGTTTGCAAATTTAGAGCTCAATCAACAGACATATAATTTATTTTCTCACGAAATCGTTCACTCGCGACTTATTTTTGATACATTTTGAGTCGAAAATAATATGAAAGCTGGAAAACTGTTTTTGAACGTAATTAGATATTATTTTGTCAATAAAAGGAACAACACAATTCAAAATAACTGTACTTTTCACTTTGCCAATACGCATTTGTTCACAGTGATAGGACAAAAGCGTACAAAACGTACTTGCAGAGTTATATGAATCAAGAAGAGCGACTTAATTGTTCTCTATTCAAATAATAAAGACGAATGAATAATTTCTCTAATTGATCGAAGATTATCTCAATATTTTTATAATGGCAAAAATTACATTTCTGTTACATTTGAGTTGTGTTACTTTCATCATAAATACGTGAAATATTTTATTTTTTTCAAGAAACATCGTTTATGTAATAGCATAATGACGATGTTATTATTTTCGCCTAATTATTATATTATGTGATAAATACGAGAATGTAAATAGCGAAATTATTATCCTTACACACACACACACACACACACACACACAATATTTGATATTATAATCCGAAAAATACAATTATGGAAAGTTTGTTTATTCATTTTCATAACTTGACCGATAGAGCACAATCATGTCATTCTTCCTGATTCATTCTATTGTAAGTTCCTCCTTTTCTTCTTAAATAATTTTTTTGTAACGACAGTAAATAATGCGATGTAAATTTAGTTAGATTTCATTGAACAACACTGTATTCTTTAAAAGAAAAAAGAAAAAATTTTTAAAGATTTGTATTGTATTGCATTTAATGATAATTTGCCAGTTGCAAGTGTTACATATCGATGAATCAGATTTAGAAATTATATATACGTATGTAGGATCTATTTGAAGGGCTAAGAATCATAGTGGCCTAAGTCGCTCTCACAATATCGTTTATATTCTTGTGTTTACTATTATTGCTGAAATGAAATATTAAGATTTCTTACTTCAATAAATGGAGTTGTAACAACGAAACTAAAGTCGACCATAAAATTAAACATATAGAGGCTTCAACACTTAAAAAAAACGTGATTAACTCAAATTATAAAAATTTAGACTTATACCACTATAGTTGTCAGTTTCTTATTTGTTCTTCACTATCATCGCGAACAAGCACATGTTGATAAGATGAAAATTGTATTACTTCGAATTGCATCGTTTCTTTGATTGACAAGACGACTTTAATTACTTTTAAAAACTTTTCTTGGTTTCTTTTGTATTTTCGAATTGCGTCATTTTCATAGCGAGTGGACGGTAGGTATATATAAGACGGCTTGTTCAATATTAATAAAATATAATTCCATTGTAAACTGATGAATAGAAGAATATTGAATACAATGATTTTGTCTTTTATGATTGTTAAAATTATGTGTAGCATCACAGTATTCTTTATCTTAGCCTCTACTCAAATCTAACAGATTCATGTGAAATTCATCCTTTTTTAATAGATGAATGTTCGAATGTTTTATTTCACGGAATTCTCGTTTCTACTTCGATAAAGGAGAGGACGGGGGTGGCCAGAAACCCCGGGAAAGTAGGTTAACGCCGGCTTGTTTTCGTTGTAAATCTGTACGCATTCTGCAACGGAATAAATCAGTCGGGCAGCCGAATATTTATTTTCGTGGGGGGGGAAAAATGCAAGGAAAGTTTTTCTTCGTCGACCGCCGGCAACTTCTGTGTTGGGCGGCCACGTTGACCAGCGAGAGAGTAAATGAAATCCAGCGGCGGACGAGTCAAATAGAAATCGGCGAAACTGTAAGTTACACGCGCCGATCGAATCGAATTTACGATTCTCGATCGGCGGATCGTCACGTGTGAATTTAATTATAGTAGGTAGCTGCGCAGATCGTTGAATGCCGTTTCGTTAAACGCGCCCGTCCACGAATGAACAACGAAACAAGTTGAGTACGTTGGCAGAGCAGCAGAGAAAAAGAATAAAGGGACAATGCAGTGGATAATCGCTAAACAGACATATCAAACATCCGTGTAACTGTTTCGATCGGCGCGGTGCATCATCGTGATAAATAAATTCGGTGGGTCGCCCTCGTGTACAAAGGCGCTACGCTAATTGAACACGCTTATCGGGCTTCATCGATCATCCGACCTGAAAAATGTATTTAACCGCGTCACGAAGCGCTCGTAAGACGTACAATTATACTCGGCGGCGTGTGAGTATCGTAC